CAAAAGTAACCCCAGCACCCCATGGGGAAACGCTGTGTCTAATGAAACCACTATCTTGTAGCTCAGTGATCTGTTTCCTTAGTTCTTCCATCTCGATGTGGTTCATTCGGTAAGGAGCTACCGAGATGGGCTGGGTTCCTAGCTGTAAGTCTATGGTGAACTCGACCTTTCTGTCCGCTGGTAGACTGGGCAGTTCATCCGAAAATACGTCTGAAAAGTCTCGGACTACTGGAATCTCTTGGATACAAACTTCTTTCTTGGGTTTACCTAATTAAAGAAAATACAAGATTAAGGCACTGGGAATTAAGAAAAACTTGCCATTAAGGGAAATCAGCACTGAATAATTTTATTAACTTGTAAATGGCTCCTCGTTGGGAGGATTAAATACAATTTTTTTGTTAAAGCAGTCTATGATGGCGTGATACCCCGCTAGCCAATCCATTCCTAGGATTACATCAAAATCCCCCGTGTCTAACCCTATAAGGTCTACCCTCAATTTCCTATCTGCTATCTCCACGGCACATGCCCTGTAGATAACCTCTCCTAGCAATGTCTCCCCCCTAGCGATAGATACAAGCAATAATGAATCAAGTCTATCAGGTGATACACAAATTTTGGAAGCAAGAACATGTGAAATAAAAGAATGTGATGCACCAGTATCAAACAAAACATGAGGAATGTGGCCAGAGATAGTATACATACCATGTACCACGTCCGGGTCTGCGTCGGCATCCTTCTGGGTAAGGTTGTAAACTTTGCCCTGAATTGAAGGCCTTCTTTGATTCTGGTTCCTAGGGCATTCCCTTGCATAGTGCTGGGCACTGCCGCATATACGACAGGTGTTGTTGAGGTGGTAGCAGGGTCGGTCCCCGTGATCCCTGCCGCAGTACTGGCAGATCTTCCCACGTGCTGCCCCCGTAGCTTGAGGAGGGGCCTGGACGGCGGGTCTGGGCCTCTTACTGGGTTGGACAGGCATGGTAGGTGCTCGCCTGCGGAGCGGGGCTGAGGGTCGAGAACTTCCCGCTAGCTGAGGGCGGGTGTCGAAGCTCCTTTCTATGATCTGTGCCTTTGCCAAGACTGTCGAATATGTCTCGAGCTCCATCACCAGTAAGTGCTGTCTGATCTCCGGGCGGAGACCCCACTGGAATTTCCTGGCCTTTCGGCCCTCATCCATCAATGTCTTCGGGGCATGTCGGTCCAGCTCCAGGAACTTACGGGCATACTCTGACACTGTCATGTTTTCTTGGACCAATTGAGCAAACTCCATTTCCTTTAGGTGTTGGATGTGTTTAGGGAGATACTCCGCATGGAAGGCCGCTAGGAACTGCTCCCAAGTAGCTGGTATAGGCAGGGTGGCCCGCTTGAGCTCCCACCAGCGTACTGCTTCCCCTACCAGCATGTAGGAGGCAATGGCAGCCCTTTGCTCAGGAACTACTCCCAAGGTCTCGAAAGCTCTCTCAGTCTCTGCCAGCCAGTATTGGGCCTCTTCAAAAGAGGATCCCCCTGCAAAAGTAGAAGGGTTCAGTCTTCTGTACCTCTCTATGAAGCCGGGGTCGATCAAGGAAGGAGCGGGGTCCTGAGGTAGAGGGACTGGGGCCGGCTGAGGGTGAACTGGGGGACCCTGTGGTGGCACCTACTGATGTGGTGGGGGCACTGGAATGTGCTATGGCGGCGCCTGCTGGTACCGTGGCTGTGGTACTGGGTCGTACCGCGGCTGTGGTGCCGGGTGGTACTGTGGAGGAACAGGCTCCTGCTGGGGTGGCTCGGGATCAGCCTGCTGTAGCGGGGGCTCAACCTGCGCTAGCGGAGGAGGTCCGGGTAACTCCCTTCTCTCCTCTTGCCTTTGCTGGGCAGCTACGAGAGCCTCCACAATCTCAAATAGTCTGTTTAAATCCTCCCGAAGCGAATTATCTTGGGCCACTCGGTTTAGTGGGGGCCTTCCTCTCCTCATTCCCGTGTACCTGCATTCACAAGGAATGATTGAGTAACGATATATCAGTGAGTATTACTCTAAGGCACTATTGTGTAAGGGATGGGTCCGAGGAAATGCGGCTCTGATACCAACTGTAACTGCCCCAGAAATTTAAAATGAAATGTGTATTAAAAATATCAAATGCGGAAGCGAAGTCAAAATTTCAATTAACATCCCTTATACCAAAACGAAAAAACGTACTCAAAATATAAAAGATCAAACTAACTAAAAGAAACTCGAAAGTAAAAGCTATGAATATGACTAGGGAGTCTTTAGGCGTCCCCTTCGTCGTCTTCCTGCGGAACGGGCTCGGGAACAATGTCTTCCTGATCTGAAATGATTAAATAAGGAATGAGCTACACTAGCCCAGTAAAGATATCACGATATGTCACCGTCACGGAGGTAAAGGTGGGTGAAAAACACAAAAAGACCAATGGAGCATAATTTACAACAAATCCTTTTATCCATAATAAATCCTTTACCATCCACTTACCTCGGTGAAATTCATAAAATAATATATGAAAGCAATAACATTATCATCATCATAAAATCATATAAACTGTATAACATAATACTTATCACGCCTTTTGTAATTCAATCATTACACAACACATTTTCCTCATTTACCAGCCCACTAGTATCCATGGGGATCCATAGGGGTCCCGCTACCCGTTAACCCTTAACACTTGAAATCAGATTCCAGGGCCGTCCCCATACCCCGTCCGGTATAGGCGCCAAAACTATAAACCTCATTACCCCGTTCGGTATGAGGGTGAAACAGGCCGTCCCCATACCCCGTCGGTATGGGCGCCAAAACACGTAAGGTCTTCATACCCCGTCCGGTATGAGAGACCACAATCCCTGTAGGGTTCCCTACGGACCCGGTCCGTCCACCATCTCCCAGGATATCTAGTCAGGCTGACCACATTATACAATTACCAATTCACATAATCTTTCATTCTCTTTTTCCTCAGTCAGCATCATCAATTCACATACAAACAAGCAAAACAGTAATTTATGCCAAACATGCAACATACAGTATCAGTATCTCAGTCATTCAATCCATAATCAATAAAACAGTAAAATATGCACACGAAACTATAAAATGAAAACATCAAACCTCATACTGTATTTAAAACTGTAAAATATGCCAAATACCAGTTAACCGATAAACACACTAGACTCGGGCTCCATTAGCGACCTTAAGCAATTTCACACAATCGTTGATTCAAGAAATACCATTTTATCATTATTGAACTTTAATACCGTGATAGGAAATAGGGTGAGGGGTCCTTACTCGTTTCGGGATCCGAACACGGCTTCACAGTGCGCCTACAGGCTGTCCATAATTTTTCCTGAATTTTTTTCGGGGAACTGAAACGCACTACTGGTACCTGCACGTGTTCCAAAAAATCCCAAATTAGGCCCAGGGCCCCTTTTTGGCCAATATTGCAATTCCGGGACGGCGGTTCCGCCGTGCTCCGGCGACGGCGCCGCCGCTTGCGGCTGCGATTTGCCTCGGTTTGGCCGTTTTCGGTCGAATCGATAGCTTGCACGGTCCTTGCGATAAAACAACCCTAGGGCCCTCGGGGGGTCAAAAAATTACGAAAAATCGAAGCTTACCGGCGGCGGTGCTCTCGGGTGCGACAGCTCTCCGGTGAGGTTCTTGTTTTGGCGATTCGGCTCCGATCAACCTGTAGAGAAAAGAATGGTGATCATGGTGATATAAAAATTGCATCAAACGGAGGCCGGGAAGGGCCTCATCGGAGGCAAAAACCGAGGAGGGGCGCGGCGGCGCCGCTGGGTTTTGGCCGGGATTTTGGCTTCGATTTGGCCACAGGGAAAATCAGCGTGGAAAAACGAGTCGGGGGTATGAAATTTACCTCGATCGGCGGTCGGAAATCTCCCCGGTGCGGCGGCGGGTGGCGGCGGCCGGCTTCTCCGGCGTCTGGTTCGTCTTCTCCGGCAAGGGCAGGCGGCTAGGGTTTTTGTGGTCACGTGTGGGGGTTCTATTTATACCCTTTTGTGTTTTGATCTCAACTGTCTATTTTGATTTAATTTGGGCCGTTCGTTTTTGATTGAATCTGGGTTGTTCGTGCGATTGCATCTTGGCCGTCCGTGCACCCGCTTGATCTGGGCTGTCCGATTGCGCGTACGCGGATCGCCAATGTGGCCCGTCCCCGGTCGACGTGGTTTTGCCACGTGACAGGTCCTGGTTGGCCATGACTGCTGACTGGATCGGCTAACGTGGCTTCTGACGTGTCGTTCTCTTTTTTTTTTAACCTAATAAAAATAATTAATAATAAAATAATAAATTTTTTTTCAAATTTCCGAGCGTTACATGAATTCTTATAAGTTTTTTGTAAACAATTTTATAAATTCAATTCCAAAACATATTTTAAAACTCAATTTTAATATAAAACATAATTTAAATAATAAGTTAATTATTATTATTATTATTATTATTGTTGAAAATAGAATTATGTTTTGTTTCATTTTCTATATTATTCATAAGATATTTTTTTTAACAACAAAAAAGTGAGATTTTTAAAATAAATTAATTAAAAAAATAAATATAATTATTTACCGGTAAAACTTTAATATATTTAATGGTACGTCAATCACTCTATAATATATTACATGTTAGAGTTAAATTTTATATTATGTGTATCTTTAATAAAAATTTGTATTGTAATTTATGTAAATATTAAAATAATAATAATTCAGTTTAGCACTTTTGGGTGGTGAGTTAAAGATGTAAAGTTATAATTGCTTCTCATAAAAAAACAAATCTATATATTACGTGATTATCGATCTCATTTGTATATATTATAAGGCAAATTAATATTGTAGATTAATTTATATTTTCCTACTTTGCTCTAATTTATATGCAAACCATTACATTATCCGTACCGACTCTAATTTCCCATTTAAAAAATAAATATATAACGAAAAAATAAGTGCTATCTATATATCGTGATTTTACCAGTCCGCACACACCCGAGGGAACCCAAAACGCACCGTTTCGCTTAAGTTGAGAGACTGATTCCGTGTGTCAGGCTCACTGCACCCGTCTTCTTCCCAACAACTTTTTTCTTCTTTTTCTTTCCCCCGCGACAGAGGAAAACCCTAGGGTTTTAGTTTTCCTTCCTTTGTCGTGTTTTTCTTTATGGGTCTTCGGGCTCCTTCATTCAAACGGCCACAGCAGGAGAAGTACTCACGGATTTCTCACTGTCGGGTTCTTCACCGCCGCCGAAAACCGCATACGCAAATCTGGTATTTTCCTGTTATTTCTACCGATTATTTTGTAGATTGTGAGTATTTAAATACATTTATTGGTAAATATTGCATTTATTTCATGGTATCAGAGCAAGGTCCCGAAATTTTATAAAAAATAATTCTGCTTGAGTGAAACTCTCTTGTAGCGGTATGTAGTTCTTTGTAATTAAACCTTGTTATTGTGATTGGTTCGAGACTGTTTGAAGAAACCGCTCGTTTTATTGTGATTGCAAGTCTGTAAAAGAGAGGAGCACCCATACAGAGCAATGGTAGAAATAGAAAGTTTAGATTCAAACATGAGAATCGCAGACAACAACTCCACTGGTTTAGCCGGAACAAATTCAAAAGTAAAACAAAACCCCACTGTTTTGACCAGCACAATTTTAGATCTCTCAAATCTGGCCCCCGACATTAAGGCCAGCATGTTTTATGCAAAAACTGCATGTCATCATTGACCTTACCTCAAACGAAGGCATGTTGAACAAAACGCCCTCAACAAAGATAAATATTATTGCACCCACTGCAAAAAGAGTGGACACCCGCTGGAGAGGTGTTTTAAAGCGGACCCATGAAAGGTTGTTTGCTCCAACTGTAACGTTCCGGGGCGGATTGCTTGGACATGTTGCAGGCCACCTGGGCAGTCAAAAGGTGTTTTAAAGCAGACACAGGAAAGGTTGTTTGCTTTAACTGTAACGTTCTGCGGTCATTTTTCTGCTTACTATTTATTCGGTTGTGCATTAATTGGCTTGGTATTATTATTATTATCATCGACTCCTTCAGATTAATTTATACAAGGACCCAACACTGAACTCTGTATGCTTATATATTTGTAGTATGAGTGCACCTCAACAAGAAATTATGCAAATTCCGGAAAAAGTAGAAAATGGAAGTCGCCACGATTCTCTCCTTCACCACTCCACGAGATTGTTGCAGATTGGTCATGGTGTCTGAAGTCTTGAGGTCGGCCATGGAGTCTGATATTGTCTGGGAGAGGTTTCTACCACCGGATTATAATGAACTTCTCTCCAGGTTGGTGACTCCTCTCAAGTTCTCTTCCAAGAAGGAGCTTTTTCTCCCGCTCTGCAACTGGGTTCTCATCGACGGTGGCAACAAAGTAAATTAAAACCAACTCCTCTCCTTTCTTTTTCTCAGAAAACAAACAGAAGATCATTCGAGAAATGAATCGTTTTATTCGTATTAATTGATTTTGCCGTTCCTAATCAATGAATGATCTGGGTTTTTTCTTTTTAATAGAAGAGATCCTGATTAATATATACTTGTCGTACTCTTTTTTTGTGGGAAACAAACAGAGAATAATGGAAAAAAGGAAATGAGTTTATTCGTACCCGTTGATTTTGAGTTATCAAATCAACAGAATGTATTGGGTTTTTGATAAAAATTTGACAGGTGACAAGGGTGACACCATGAAAATTGGTCAATAAGTTTTTTCGATTATGGGTTTGTTCATACTTTTTCTTCGCTGTAAAAAACAGAGCTTCAAATTAGAGAAGTCATCTGGGAAGAAGTGCTTCACACTGTCTGCTAGAGAATCCGATGGAGCAATGATCCAATGAGCTGGGGCCGGGAGCCCTCAAATGAATCAAGGTTTGTTCAAATGGATGATAAAGCTCTGTTTGTATTTCCCAATTTGAACGTAAGTAATTTAGAAATTTTGTTTTAGGTTCCCAGGACTTGCCTGCCTTCTCCTCTAACTACTCTCAACTCAAGCACAAAGGCAACTGGCTTTTTGAAGGGTAAAAACTTCCACCTTTTTTTGGAGATGTATTGCTTGCACAAGGAGAATCCCAAGGTCTACACAGTTGAGAGGCTTGCCAAGGATTATAGCATTATGAGGGAGGAGCAGTTACATGCCATTCTTTGGCAGAAGGAGCCTGAAGAGGAAGAGGAGAAAAATCTTGGTCATCCCTTGGATGATTCTGTAGAGCTCTTGCTTGACACCTGCCCAGAGTGAGGTTTTAATTATCAGCTATCTTCGTATTTAAGCTTATTAATTTAGGAGCTAATGAAGTTGTTTCTTATAAATTTCCTCGAAATTTTTAACTTTTATAGTCCTAATAAATTGATTTTCATTTCTGATTATTCTACCTTCTTTTTTGGTTGAGCGACCTGGGTTTCATGATGGGTCATCTGTTTTATCTCATATATTGATATATGTACATATATATTTAGCCGAAGTTTAGAAGTGAACAATTAGGTTGTTGATTTCTAAAAATATGAAGTCCTGCCACAGACGTGCTTGTAAGCATGCATGTCTACATATAAGGCTGTGTATAAAAGCTAAGTCACTAAACTGGAGGTAGCGTAGGTTGTGAATTCTCCTTTTATTTTTTTTTCCTTGTATTTCTTATATGTTTGTATCTGTCTACCTTTTTCTCTCTGGATCTCCCAATTCTTGCCCGTGCAGTAATTCGATTCATCTGGTATGACATTTCACTTTTCTGTTTATGAATGTTATGTCGATCAATTTTCTTCTATGGCTGCAAATTTTCTTAAATCAAACATTTGACGTATTCAACTTTTTTTAAACATGTCTTAACCAAATTTGGTGTCAATATTTTATAACTTTCCTTTAGGTTGAAGACGAGATAATTTCAAATAAGATGGACTGACAATAAGAACTCTGTAAATTAAAATATTTTCCCTCATATATGTTCTCCATGATATAAAGTATTTTGATTAAAATTTGAATTAAATAATAATTTCACTTTTTTTTTTTTTTTTTTTTTTGTAAGAGTAAACATTGGTGATATTTAAAACTTTGTTTGATTAAAAAATACATAAATTAATCAATTATATAATATATATATATATAAATCATAACATATTAGTAATAATTTATAATGAAAAAAACACAATCATTTTTAATACACTAATTAAGAATTCATATTTGTTAGCTTCATATAGAACTAAAGTGACATGAATGCTACGTTCTTACGATTATGCCTTTTTCACGGATCAGTCTGACCACGCCTGCCTTCTTCAAGAAGCCTCTTTGTATTACTAACATCAAGCTCAAATGTTCCTAAAGAAAGCAAAATTAAAAATCGTTGATACCTCATGGTAACATCTTGTAAAGCTGGTGAGTCATATTTTTCATTAGGTAAAGTCAATTTGACTGCTCTAACTAAGCTTACCAAGATTTCTATTGTTGATACCAATAAGCTCTATTCCGTCTATTCCACGAGCAAGATCCATTTCCCTCTCATCATGCACCTACAGTTGTCAAACTAGGCAAGAAGAAGGAATTTATATCATTTTTCAATAGCTGATCAAAAAAACATATACATCTCTCCCTTTCAGTAAAACAAATAACATTTCCAACCCCTGCAGGGGCAGCCAAACCAAGCATCTTGCAGATCTTAGTCATGTACTTGATGTCAAGATCGGGCAAAACAGCAGAGCAATAAAACACTACTGCATCTGCGCCTTTAATTCGTGCATAATAGATCTGCCATGCATCTATGATGAATTCGTTGCACAGAAGTGGACACTGTAGTTTACTAGTGTTAGAATTGTGTTTTAACGGACCATAATCGTGTAAACTACGCAAACAATATGAAGTATTTAAGAAGCAGACCTCTACTCCAGCGTTTCTTTTTGCCTCCAAGTACTCAAAGCTTTCCCTATTTGATAGCAAATCAAGTTATAGAAAGAGAGCAAAAATAAAATAAATAAAAAGAAAAACAAGGTTCTGACAGAAGGAGTGAGCTAAATATTTTCGCTCACCGTGCAGAAATTTTCACTTCTTATCAGAGAGAAAAGAGAATCTAGCAAAATTTAAGCATTCGACAAACCCAAGAGCAAACATGATATAAATACCTTAAAATACTTCTGGTCCGTCAAAACACTGGGACATGTTGCTCCACCTTTCTCATAAGCTCGGGCAATTTGAACATATTATTATGGAAAAAACCAGGAAGGCAATTTGAACCTTCCATCATCGCTATATATATATATATATATATCTTTATATACTGATCAGTTTTCTTCTATACCTGCAAATTTTGGGCTGCCAGGTACTCATGAATACCAGGCCTAAAGTTGATGAACATGTTGAAGGCATGCAGGATGAGTTGGGTGAAGCATAGGGACTTAATTGATGTTGGGAGACTGAATACACCCTATCTCTACGTTTGCTATATCATTTGCTAAATAAGATATGTCTCTTTCGTTCAACGAGCATGTCAAAATCTCCACATGCCTCGTGTTTTCTACCGAAATTTGGGATCATGTAAAATCTGAGCTACCCTGGACCAAGCATGTATCTTCTCCACCAAATTTCCAACACCGGGAACTTTTTGCCGAAGTAGCCAAAAAACTGGACCGGCACTCTCCTCCATTTTGAAAAGAATGTTACCTGCGACTCACCTATGATAACCCAAAAAAAAATTTACTATAAGATTCGCAGGGAGGCATAAAGAGAAAAATTATGGAAATATTAGAGTAAATTAAAACTCACACAATCAATTTTAAGGACTGATTTTATAGCCCTTCAAATATTAAATATATCCACTCCGAAAAAAAAAAGTTAAAATTTTAGTTTTCTAAATAAGAATTTAATTAGGATCACATAATCAACAATATCAATTATTTATTTATTATAAATTATTTATAATTATAAAATATAATTAAAAGTATATATGAAGATCTGAGATGTCTCAGTTATTTTATTGTTAATAATTTTCAACATGTACGTGTTCTACAATTAGAGTGTATACGAAATGTTTTTATTTTGTGCAACCCATAAATATTCAAAATATTCATAGCTAATTTAAACTAATTTTTTTTGTTATAAAACCAAATGTAAAATTATTAATAAATAATTATAAAGTATTTTTTTGTTAATTTATCTGCAATTTATAAGTGTGATCGTATAAAAGATAAGGTCGGCCCATTACTCCTATTAAGTTATCTTGTGCATTTAAATTCAAATGTTTTGTCACTCTAGCCTTAAAATATTTTGTATAAACTATCTGATGCATTTTGATTTAATTATTATTACTAATTAAATAAATTAGAATATATAGAGAAATTTTCTACACACGTCGTGCCTGTTAATTTTTTTAAATAAAAAAGATTTTAATTCATTATACATATTCCCACTAAAAAAATCTAACCAAATATGAAATGCTTTTTCGATATAAATATAGTAAACTTTATTAAAAATTAGCTTAATTTAATCATTAATAAATTAAATATTATAACATATTTAACTTCTTTTTTTTAAATATATTCTAACCAAATTGGATATAAAATATTTTATAACTTTCCCTTCGGGTATACTAGATAATGTTGAAGATGGGATAATAGGATCATTACAATTTTGTTTATCGCCACTTTTTCTTTTAATATTTAAAAAAAAAAAAAAAAAACTCTGCTCAACTTTAAATTTATTTGAATATATAAATAATATTTTATTTTGTATGTATTATAAATTAAAATATTTTACCTGGTATATATATTTTCCATAATATAAAATATTTTGATTAAAATTTAAATTAAATAATAATTTCACATTTTTTTGAAGAATAACCAAAACTTTTTTTAACTAAAAAAAAATACTTAAATTCATCATATATATAATCCTAACATAACAGCAACAATTTATAATGCGCACACAATACACACTAATGCAATACTCATATTTGTTAATTTTACATAAAACTAATTGGAGTAACAAAAGTTTATTAAGTGAATCTTTGTCGAGTTATTAATAGAAATAAGAAATCAATTAAGGTCTACTCATTATAAAAGATAATTTATCTAAACAAAAAAATGTAAATAAGCTCCCATCATCATTTAATAAATTTGACCTTGGCCAAACAAACATGATGGCTTGCTTAAATACATCTTTCTGAGAGAAAAACATGATCACTTATTTTAATACATCTTTCAAATATTAAAAACTATGAGGTAAACAGAGCAGGGTACAAAAACATTTGGCCATGAAGGAACCACACCTAAGTTGAACAAAAGGACCTGTATAATCTAACAGGAAGAGGCTCATACTGAAATGTCTTTACCAAAGAGTCCACTTATTCCCTTCCCAGGGTCATTTTGTCTTACAATTGATTCCCCGACCAAAACCTGCATCGGAGCAATATGGATTTGATTAGCGAAAGCAACTAGCACATTTGTTTATCACTTCGTTGTCTACTTGTACAATACTCACTATGCCAATCACATCAAAGACAAAACATGAAAAGTTAGTCATGCTTGAATATATATCTATAATAGAGAGTTCGCATACGTAGGTGAATATGCACCATATCATTTTTAGGTAGCTGAACGTTATTTTCAGTTAGGTACAATTCCTCCTATTTCTCAATGCACCATGCACAATTTTAAAACATTGTAAGAGGGCATTTTAGGATGGCCAGAACTGGCAATTTAAAAACGCCCAGTTTCAAACAGTGGAAAGACCATGTCAGGTAACATAAATGCTCAAAATGAATCCACCATATCGAATGGCAAAAATACACCCGATGTCGCATCAGCATTTGGAATGGTTCTTGCATAGCTTACCGCTTTAACACCAGCTTCTTGTACATATGTGATATCTTCAGGAGTAAACAATCCAGATTCTCCAACCACCTAGATAAGCATAAAAGTAGAGATATGAATAGGATTGTTAGACAGAGAATGAATACTTCAAGAACAAAAGTGACATGAATGCTACTTACAATTATGCCTTTTTCACGGATCATTTGACCGCGCTCTCCTTCAAGAACCCTCTTTGTGTTACTAATATCAACCTCAAATGTCTCTAGAGAAAGCAAAATTAAAATCGTACCTCATGCTAAAGGGTCATCCACATCTTGTAAAGCTAATGAGATTATGATCATACTTTCTGTTAAGTAAAGTCAATTTGACAGCTCAAGCTTACCAAGATTTCTATTGTTGATACCAATAAGCTCAATTCCATCTATTCCAAGAACACGATCCATTTCCCTCTCATCATGCACCTACAGACGTCAAATTACGCAAGAAGAAGGAATCTAAATAAATTTTCAATAGCTGACCAAAAAACATATAGATCTCTCCCTTTCAGTAAAACAAATAACATTGAACAAATATTGCAAATTTAAGTAGCATGTCTCAATCTATTGCCAAATGATATAAGGGGTCAAACAACTGATTAAATGTGGAACTAAATTGTGTATTGATAATCGTTAATCGTGTCTTTCAAATTTTTACTTCTCACCGGCTAGCTTCCTGATTTGTTAGCTGTGATTGATCTAAGCAGAGGATTATTACACAAATATTTCTTAATAGCAGCATCCCTAAGAACCAAAAACAGGTGGAGCTAAATCCCCTTGAAATTTGAATACTGTGATTAAATAAGTAAACTCTACCATACATGAGCAGCTTATTTCAGTCAAAAGTTCAATAGCATGAACTTGAGTCTTTAAGTAAATATGCTTTTCCAGTTGAAAGCAAACATTTCAGGTTGAAGAGCAACTGTGGTGAGTTTGATAATAACAAGAAAAAAAAAAGATTTCCAACCTCCACAAGGGCAGCCAGACCAAGCATCTTGCAGATCTTAGTCATGTATTTGATGTCAAGATCGGGCAAAACAGCAGCGATTAACAGTACTGCATCTGCACCTTTAGTTCGTGCATAATAGATCTGCCATGCATCTATGATGAATTCTTTGCACAGAAGAGGACACTGCAGTTTACTAGTGTTAGAATTGTGTTTTAACAGACCATAATCATGTAAACTATGCAAACAAGATGAAATATTTAAGAAGCAGACCTCTACTCCAGCATTTCTTATTGCCTCCAAGTATTCATAGCTTCCCTATTTGATAGCAAAATCAAGTTATAGGAAGAGACCAAAATTTGAAAAAAAAAAAGTTTCTAACAGAAGAAGTGAGCAAAATAATTTCACTCACCATCCAGAAATTTTCACTTCTTATATAAGATAAAAGAGAATCTAGCAAAATTTGAGCATTTGTCAAACCAAAGAGCAAACATGAAATGAATACCTTAAAATACTTCTGGTCTGTCAAAACACTGAGACATGCCGCTCCACCTTTCTCATAAGCTTGGGCAATTTGAACCTATTATTATGAAAAGAAATACCAGGAACAAGAAAATAAAGTACAAATTATCCAGACTGTTATTCTGTTGGTTCATTTCTTCTTGAAGGTTTTACTCACACGAGTGTCCATAAAGAAATCAAATAACCATACCCAGAAAAATCGGATGTTTATGTATCACTACAGTCACATATCATATAATTTTAGATAACCAATAAACTGTCTGTAGAGAATTTTCATGTCTTTAAAAACTCTATGTGATAACTGTAGGGTTAAATTTTGGGTGTTTCATCACAAAGTCATGAAGCGGAAAAAACAAATACAAAATTAGACATAAAAAAAAAAAAAAAAACTCAACATGATAACAGATGTATGAATGTAGATTACCAGAATGCCTTAATCAAATACAACTATTCTGCCATTATATATAAAATAATATGAAATGAAACCACCCCATCACGATGCAACTTGGGTAAGAATGTTAAAAGACAAGTCCTTACTGGATCAAAATCCTCTCTTAGGATTCCTCTGCTTGGAGAAGCCTTCTTCACTTCAGCAATCAAACCAGGCAGCCCAGTTCGTTGATGGGCAGCTCTAAGGGCTCCAATGAAATCTCTAGTCGGAAGAGAACTTTGAAGAGCCTTTTTCAATGCAGCAAGAGGTCTTCTCTCCTTCATCTGAAGAAAAATTACCGTCCATGTTAGGGTCAGCATACGAAATATAAATAATAAGGAAATAAAAAAAGAAAATAACAAAGACAGCTCTGAGCAAAGCAGAAAGAGTTACTTGTGAAACTTCCGTATCCTTGTTCCAGACAATCTCCTCTAAAATATTACGAGGTGTGTTGCCTTCATTTTGCAACCGAAATTCAAAAGGTCCCACATAGTGCAAAGGAGGCCCCGTTGGCGGCCTCCTCCTTATCCTTATACCCTGGCTAGCAGCTATTTCATCCTGGAACATCCCCACTTCCCACTCCTTGACTTTGAGGGCATTTGCTTCATCCTCTCTTTCAGAAGCAACGACAGCCAACCCATCCTTAACATCCGACTGGAGAGGAGTTCAGAATAGCCCGATTAGCTCCAAAAAATATGTAACTCAACTTTTTTTTAATGTACAATGAAGAATCAATTAAAAAGTATATGAGGATATAACTTCAGGTAATAGCATATTTGGGATGGCTCATTTCCACATATAGAGCAATCTCCAATAATTTTTAGCTCAAATAAAAAGCAACGCGTGTTTTTTCAATTAAACCATAAACAAAGAAGGCCATCCTCGTGCAGACAAGAAGCGGAGCCATTTTTATTAAGCAGTGAACTAACGGAAATTGAACACATACAGCAAATTAAAAAAAAAAAACAAGGAACTAATCCTCCAATCAATCAGGCACGTTACGTAGAGCATAGAATAAGCTTCTAATCAGAAGAAATTTTATCTCAAAATAACTCCTTATCTCTTTAACAAAAAAAAAAAAAAGCACCAACTACCAAACAAATGCACAAGTAAAATCCAATGTTTACAATGAAATTCAATAAATCAAATCATACTTTTCACAATAATGATCTTCTGGCCGAATAATTGCAAAACATTTAAGAGATGAAATTCCATCTCAAGCTTCGAATAGAAATCAAAATTATTTTTTGAAAATAAAATAAATAACTGAAAGACACATAACCTGTTGAGCTCGAATGGGAGTAAAAGAGGAAGCATTTCGCCTCATTGCAGTCGCTGAGAACGACCGTCTGATTGAGAAGGGAGTGAGGGAAGGTACTGGTTGAATTGAAATTCTAGGAGTTGCTCTTGAGGAAACCAATCCCTCCATTCTCTAATTTCAATTTGGTTTTCCTAATATTTCAGTTTGAGGGTTAAAAAAAAATAAAAAAACCTAGACAGTTGGTTCTGCTTTTAGAGGGAGTCGGAGAGCGGGGGTTGGTGTGACTGTTACGTTGGGAATGGTCAACGGCTGTCCGTCGAGCAACAGATAGGGCCGGGTAAGATTGCGTGCATCCGAGTGTAAAGTACCCAATAAACATCCGAGTTTAAACTTTAGTTCCATTACATAGTCATAGTCCCCGCGAATGTGGAACTAAAGTTTATTCTATCACATTATTACGGACATAAAATGCATATAACTATAGTTTTATATGTGCTTGTTTTTTCTAAATTACTTGTTAAATGTTATATTTAAATATTAAAATTATATACCACAAAATATGTTAGTTTCGATTCAAATTTATTTTATTTATATTTAGTTTTTATAATTTATATATTTGATATAATAATTAATTTAAAATTATACTATTTACAAACAAATAATTCTAGATTAGAACTATAAAATAATTATCATAAAAAATTATGAATTTACTCTAAAATATATGTTATTTAATTAATAAAATATATAAATTTTTATTAAAAAAATTAAAAAATAAAAGCAGCAAGCAAACTCACGAACTTTTGATAAAGAAACATTTGATAAAATATTCATCTTTAAATTAAATCTTTGATTTGTGTCTATCAAATGTTTACGCTGCGACATCATGACAACACAAGATATTAAGCATGAATACAAGCATCTGCAGTACTGCTGCCGGCTTGAAACTGGCAATCTCTTCTCTCCTTGCGCGAGCTTCTCGCACAAGACGTCCATAGGACATAAACCATTGTCATCTAAAACCTAGATTTTGCCACTAGCAGAAACATTCACTTGAAAAGGTTTCTGAATCCATCGAATATTCTCAAAGCTTTTAACTCGCCGCTTCTGATGTCCCTTAATTGTCTTCTCAGTATCTGAAACTCACAACATGTAAGCATGTTCAAGCATAAAACTTGGGTATTGGCCACAGAATCCTTACATGAAAAGAGAAGAAGCCTTACATATTGAGCACGAAATAGTATTCTCCGTTCACTGGTGCACAAGTCTACCGCTAGCTGTTTCAAGAACAATCTTCGATTCAGTTGCTTTGGAGATGTTACATCCAAATCCATCGATCCACTTGCCTAGAAAGTAAGATAAGGAATAGGAAAAATTGGTTAGCATCTAAGGCCATTAATATTGTGATAAAAAGCTTAAACACGTAACTAACTTTCCACCTTCTTGTCCAGCCAAGAGCCTTTCAAAAGGGTTCAAATTTCATCCCACATGAAATAATGGAGATTTTGATTTTCCCTTACCTGCAAGAATTTGCTGTACTTTGATATGCTTGATTCACAGCTTTCCAATATGAACTGTAGAGCCTCTTCCTCAATTTCAAGATATCTTAAATCTTTTTTTGAGGTAGACTTATTTGATGCTGCAGCTGCCATCTGGGAAGAAGATCTTTTAGATGTCGTAAAAGAGCAAATAGTACTGTTCAAAATTAAGAAGCTAAAGTAGTCAAACCTCTTCAAAGTGCCTCTTCATATTTGGAGGGCTGACCACTAAATAAGCATATGCCATTAACTCCAACGGCCAACCAGTGACTTGTAGCGGGAAGCACTGAGGTCTGGAAAAAAGAATTTTATGCCAGCATTCAAAATACTGTATCTGATATGGAGTCAAAAAGAAACATACACATAAAATGACAATATAAATCATGGAAATCTCGTGGCATTCACTTTATCATCAAGATAAAAATATGGGAATCGTAACGTGTGGTGATATTAGTATTTACGAGAAATCTGACAATGTTCTAAAATGATGTCCTCATTAACTTGAACCAGAAATATTAGTAAAGAATCAGTTACTTATTAAGAAATGAGTAAACACTGGAGAAGACCAAAAGGTAGAATTAATTATAAGGAGATGAAATGCAGTTAATTTCAGCTACTAACACAGATAGTCCATGCTTTCTCAAAACTTCTAATTTCTCCTTGTAACACTTGTCTGATTTCCTGAGTGATAAGGACAGCTCTGCTGAATCATTGGGGTTGGTTCCCTCATTTGGGACAAATCCATAAGAAAGCAATAGTTCCCCATTAGACTTCTTGCCATATGATATGAAAACCTGCATGAGGTGATGCAAAGCAATCAAGCAAGTGACTTCAAACTTGACCACTTGGCACCATATTTTTAGTGCTGATCAATACTAACACAGTCAATCTAGACACAATTCTTTTTCTTATGCACATGTTTCACTAAAGCACATCAAAGAAGTATAATCAGGTCCAAGGCTTCTTGCTGCAGCTATCTGTAGTGGTTCTAAACTGCCATTTTAACCTTAAGTTATTATCAAACTAAACATCTTTGATATCAAAATCCTACGGTCTTTTAGTCTCAGAAAGCCAAACGCGTAAGGCAATTTTAATATTCATTTACGAAGGTATCACTTTTTACACCATGATGGAAAATTGTCAACAACCAAAATTTCTGAAATTGTTTACCTGCTCACCTGGTTGATATGGCCTGTCTGTTGTAAAGACAACTCCTTGTGAAGATTGATCATAATCCAAAAACGTTTCCACCTAGGCCACCAACAAATAAAAATGCTTAATGGGAGAAAAGAAAAGTACATGCAGTAGAAGATATCTACAACTGCGGCATATGACAAAGGGAGTAACCAGCATACCTCACAACTATGATTAAGCATATCTGCCCAGGGAACCAAGGCAACCCTTCCATCCAGTGATGGTAACCGCACCTGTGTTTAAGAGAAAATTAAGTCCTTGGCTATTCATTCTAATAAGCACAATCATTTTCCCCATTCTTGTAAACAATTCTAAGTTTGACCTCATTCAAATAAATTACTCAAGTGAATAATATTTGCAAAAATAGCCACTCATCTAATCTTCAGGCATTAGTGACTAACAGGGTATGTATATATCTTTTACTTTATACAAAGAAGAAGCTCTAGACTTATCCTTTCTCTGGACTTTGTTGCTGAACCACATGAGATCAGTTTGACAAGATCCAGAATACAAGATTGGCCGCATGAGAAAACAGCCAGGATGTATGTTAAGACTTCTGTGCAGAAATAATTCTTAAGGAACATTTTCAAACAACAAAAATTTGTGCCAATAAATGGAGTTAATCTGAGTCATTTTCATCTTCTTCAAACAACCCCTTTGTGTTTAACTACATAAAAGAAAAACTAATTTACTCACAGTTTCTGATTTACTTACCAAGCGTGAGAACAGAATGCCGAATGACCATCTGAAAGTTTCTAGATTGAATACCTGCAAAGTCAGCAAGGGAACTTTGTAATTCAAGAGCTACAGTAAATATTCATGGAAATGAGGATACAATAGTTTTAGGGAATGCCTAGGCCTTCAAAATGATCTACTTGAATGTGGATGTTATTTAGCTAAAAATGGGTTTCAAATATGGATTAGGAATTAGTTTATGAAACCCAAAATCTTTGTAAGAAATACATAACGCAAACAGAAACCCAGCAGGAAGCTCGGACTTGGAGAAACAGCAATGTCAACCAGTTCAAATGGGCTAGCACCATATCTTTCGCAAGAGGCTTTATGCAAAACCAAAAATTTCATGGGGAAGAACAACATTGCACAAAACTTTTCTCCAGCAGTGATAGAAGGCTAACCAAATGTATTCCCCAAATTGCAGTTAGCTTGGCAAACAGTAGAACATAATATAGAATCATTACCTTTTCAGGAAATAGATGAGGGTATTTGGAAAATATCCTGAGTCTTAGATCTTCATAGCTTAACAAAAAGATAGAAATAATGTAAGTAGTGAAATATATGATAAATCCTCTAACTTATGATGCAGAATATAAGAAAAAAAACACTTAGCTAGAAAGAGAGAAAGCAAGAACAATCCGTACGTTCCAACGACATCAGTGACTCTTTCAATTGCCCGCTCTCTAATCTGCGAAGCTTCCAGGTACCTATCTAGTTCTGTATGTGTCCTGAAATGATATAGAGATGCTGTAGGGAAAGAAACTGAGAGTAGACCCTTCTCATAGCAAGAAAAGAACTCAAACTCTGGACAGAAAATTGATGAACTTTTTTTGTCAGATAAAAAAAAATTGATGAAGAACATAAAACTACCAGTATAGAAGTGAATAGGGTTGTCGGGGCAGGGCTGAGATATAATTGCTCCATCTTGAAGACTCCTTAAAACTTGCTTCACTAATCAGATAAGTGGCCAGCAGTGGCCAGTCTGGGACAGAATATTGTTTTAAGACTTGACCAGCCTCGGGACAGCTCCACTCCTAGTGCAAAATTGCGGCAACACACATATAAACGAGCACATGAAAATTACCACATAAATAACGTAAAGTGGATATATTGGCCTCAATAAAGAATGCTTTCCAAGGAAAAATAGATCTTCACGAAAACATTAAAATATGGATAATAACCCAGAAAGTAGAAACCAGAACATGATGCAAAAAAGAAGAATGTTCTAACACTAAATCATATAAGAAACGACCTTATATTTTATTATTGATAATAATACATTATCTCTCACACAAAAGTCCACAAAATTGAATTCATGGTTGAAGTGAAAGCCGACATTGTTCTTGCAAAATTAAATTGTCAACATAATTTTTTAATCTGATACATGTGCAATACTTAATTATAGTATATTATCTTAAAAGCTTCATTTTTCCTGTTACTTCTATTGTATAATCACTCTTCTTTGCATCAAACTGAAAATATTTGGGATTTCGGTGAAGTACCTAAGGCTGAATATAAACATGCACAAAGGCACATGCAGGTGTGAATGATGCAAATAAAACCAAGGCATCTTCCCCAGCCATACGTAGGCTATAAAGGAGACTGTTCTGGATCTCCTTGATGAATCTGACAAATATGTTCATTTTTCCTATAGCAGTCTATTCTAAGGATTTTAGAAAGGGTACAGCATCATATATAGTGCACGCTATAAGCTGATACTAAGCTGAAAGAAGCTAATGAAAAACAAACACGGCAACTCGGACTGGAGTTACATCTCATTTTTTATCACCATTTTATCTTTTATAGGAAAGTTGGCTGTCTCTCAACACAACGCTTAAAGATTCATATATTAATACAGAAAAACTGTCAACGTTGCCACAAAATTTTCAAGAAAACAAATAGAATCTTACAGAATCAGCGTTGATGACGAGAGATGGAGGCACAAAGAGTAACTTCTCGCCCTTTCTGATATTCTTCAGGGCAACTAGGCCTCTTTCCCCAACTTCCACCTTCTGTATGGCCATTTTCTGAGGAGGGAGGCCCGAATTGGATAGCCACTTCTGCATGGCCGACGCGTTTTCCAAGGAATCAATGTCGCAACCCCATGGGATACTCTGGGTCCCCGTGCTTTTGGTGGTGTCGCTTGTGGATACTGAACAGTGAACTAGCTGCTTGTGCCTAAACCAGGTCTGGGAAGAGAGAGACAGTTTTTGCTTTTGTGGTTTGTAGTGTGAAGAGAATGAGGGAAGGAGTGCTGTCTGCAAGATTCTAGAAGATTCAGCCATGGTTCTGCACCAAGCAACCAACAGGTAGAGAGAGAGAGAGAGAGAGAGAGAGAGAGAGGCTTATCTGGATCAAGGAACGAGAGGTCGTCAATGGTCGTTTTGACAGTTCAATATATTTAAGGAAACAATTTGCAAGTTTTGAACCAAACGACACCGTTTATTTCTTTTCTTATTTCTCTTGATTCTGTTGTCAATGCCAGCAAAGCTTGCAAAACCCACCCTCCAAAATCTTGGTCGAAAATGTTGGCAAACACCAACCTCGTTTCCTGCAACTTCTCTTCTCTTCCTCTAAAATCTTCAAAATCCAAAGCATCATTGCAAATCCGAAACTTCAATCCAGAGAAACCCAGATTGTCACTCCTCAAGGCAGCCTCAAAATCTTCGAGTTTCCTTAAACTCCCTTGTCTCAGAACTGCATTCGTGCAGTTTCACAAAAAGGGTCATCTTCAAACATGCCACTCCAATCTGAACTCCCAAGACTCGGAGGAAGATACAGTTCTGGATGAAGGGTCGTTGGCTACGCAGAGGGAGGGTAGTGGTAATAAAGAGGAAAGGAACTGGACAAGCTCGCTTTTGCTGTTTCTTCTATGGGGTGCTCTCATGTATTATGTTTTCAATCTTACTCCTGACCAGACTCCGGTAAAAACTCAATCTGAAGTTCTCAAATAAGTGAGCTTTTGTAGCTACGAAACAAAACATTTTGGGGTTGTTGGGGGATTTCTGATTTATTGCTGCAAATTCGTTAATCATAAGTTGGTTTTGACGCTAGGATTGTGATTATTGGAAAAGAATTGTATTTTACCTTATTCCCAATTTGAAAATATTTGTTTGTGAAAAATAGTTGGTTTGTAAAGGAAAATGTAGGTTTTATTATATTTTTTAGAAATGATAATAAAAACTGAATGGAATTTTAAGAAAGCGAAAATTTATTTTTATTATTCTCTAAAAAATTACTATGCCTCCATAAACACAAATCCTTGGTCATATTTTCCTGAATAAACATGTCTGTGTGTGTATATATTTATACAGACATAAACAAGTATGAACAAAGAGACAAATCTTTCGATAGTCCCTTGAGCCGAAATTTCTTTGCAAAGTTTTAAACTGAAAACGTAAACATTTGAATATGTCAAACAGAGCCTTAAAACTTCTGGCCCCTGAGCAATATTAACTCGTATTCCTCTATTTAGTGTTTCTTTTCTTTTTCTCTACTTCAACTAGATGTTAGGGTAGGTTACATTATATTATTGGAACACTTCTTTATGGTTCAAGCCTATTGGATTACTGGGAGTTAAAATAACCATGCTTTGGAAGCCAAACCATGATTTTTTTTAATAGAATAAAAAATATTGTCAGGGATTAGAGGAAAAAATACCAAGATGAGAACAAGACATCCTCTAGGGCCTCCTGCAAAAGGAGAAACGGAAACCAAAAGAAACACAAATCAATACAAGATAGCCTTGCAGTTCCTTTGTACAATGGCTATGGAGATGTCTATAAAAGAAAAGGCCAAATCATGATTAAGGGTTGCAAACTTTTAAGGGCTGAGTCTCTAAAAGTGGCATTGTCTTTTACAAAAAGTAATGGGTACCACACTCTTATTATACTTCTATGGTTAATGTTTCTACAGCCTTATGGTGTTTGGCCATACATATGCATGGTCTAAAATTCAATGAAAAAATAGACAGTAGAATAATGGTAGAATATCATTCTCTCAAAATATTAAATTATGGTAATTGTTTACACAGACTAATTAAGAAAAATATGGAAGGAGATAAACCCAATTCAGGTGATTCTGATATGTCCATAAGTTTTTTATTATGTCTTTGACAAGATAAAACACTAGAAGAGTACAAACAGTTACAACGTGGAAGTACTTTTTGGTCTCCCCCAAGAATTCTATGTATGCCCTTTCTATTAAAGGCTTTAACTTATAGTACATTGACTACAACTTTTGCAGTCAAGAGACACGTATTTTCTGAAAAAGCTCCTCAATTTGGCTGGGAACGATGGCTTTAAGATGAATGAAGTACTTGTATCTTTGTGGTATATCATGGGTTTGTGGCCTTTGGTTTACAGTATGCTATTGCTTCCTACAGGTAGAAGGTATTTTCAATTCTTTTCCATGCTTTTGTAATTTTAAGCATCCATGATGCTTGGGCTTGAAGCTTATTCTCTTTATATACAAAATTTTGAGCTCAGGTAGATTGTGAAAAGTAGCAATCCTTTTGTTATGCATTAAAATGCAGAGAGAATCATCAGAATGCATTCTCCTGCAACTGTAACTGTTGATAATCTTTGTGAGCTAGCTATATTGATGTCTCTCATTATTCCATGCTTCCCTCATATGCTATAAGGTGATGAAAATGAAATGGAATGCCTGGCAGCTTATTGATATTCTAGAATTCCTTGACAGTAGTGTTAGGAGAATTCAGTTAATATGATTTATTAATTTTTTCATCAGCTAAAAAGTTTGTAACAGGCTTGAAAGTTGAGGATCTTATTGTTCTCTTTTTCCCCTGATTTTATTCTTCATTATCTTGCGAGCAACTTTAATTACCATACGTGCCCATGAGATTTGAATGAATTGAGTAGAGAGCTTTAGAGAAAACGGTTGTACAACTCACTTAATAGTTTTAAAGAACTCAGTCATTCTGATTTATGCATCTTTTATTTGCAGCTCAAAGAGCAATATCCCTGTCTGGCCATTCTTGGTTCTTTCTTGTTTTGGTGGTGCATATGCTCTTCTGCCCTATTTTGTTCTTTGGAAACCACCACCTCCTCCTGTTGAAGAAACTGAGCTCACAAAATGGCCTCTGAATTTTATGGAATCAAAAGTAACTGCTGTGGTAAGAAGTTTGTTATTTCTCCTGTAACATAGCATCACCATTTTGACTACAATGCCATCATTTGTTTTAATATTTTCTTTGGCTCTTTAAGCAGTCTTGTGACTTCCTGTGCACATTCCACACTCGATTTCCATCAACAATTGTTCTCTCATATATAAGTGTTACTAGGACCAAATCTAGAGGGGATCATCTTTTCTTGTTTGGCTTTTTTGTTTAAATTTTCATGGTGGCTGTGTGCACGGGCACCAACTTACCTTCTCGTTTGAGAGTAAATTTGGAAACAACTTGGAGTGCATAAACAGTTTAAGTCAGTTAAACTTATTGGCTTGGTTATAGTCAAGTTTCCTGCATATAAAAGAAAAAAAGATAAGCATTTGGATGTTATGCAAAAATATTGCTTTGTGCTACCCAGATTATTAATTCTTCCTCATTTTCTGAATAAATGGAATTAACGTTATAGGATCAAAGATCACCTAAATCCTCATGACCGTACAACGGAGGTTATGATGAATGCATGTTCTGTCTATCTGGTTTCAACGGTGTTTATCCAGAAATTCTCTTTGAATGAGCCATATACTGCATACCTGACACTGAAATCATCTTCCTGATTATTTCAGCCTCGTGACTTGATATTCCATTGGTCTAGAGAATGACATGTGGTTTTATTCATTATTAGCTCGTTCACTGTGTCTAGAAAGTTAACACTTTTACACACCAGATATCATTTGCTGCAGGGCTGTGTATAGTTATCTATGCAGGTTTATCAAATGGTGGTGAATGGGAAGAGTTTTGCCAGTACTTCAGGGAAAGCAAATTTGTAAGTTTTCAAATTATTTACTTTTTTGTATCTCCAGATGTGTGTATATTTTTTCATTTAGAAAAAATGAGGTAAAAATTGTTGTCAGTGTCCAAAGTTGCTTTGCCTTGGTGTTTACCTCACATGATATATATTTTAAATTGATAGGTTTCAGCATAACACGATATGAGTCTCTTACTTTGACTTTACAATGTTAGATGGAAATTTTTTTGAAATTGGAGTCTTCATGTTGGTCACTTTGAGTATTCAATCAGACAAGTCCAGCAAGCTTAACTGGAGCTCCGAACCTTTGTATTACAGATTCATATCATGTCCATTGATTTTATGCTCCTATCTGCATTTGCTCCTTTTTGGGTGTACAATGATATGACTGCACGAAGATGGTGAGCTTTCATATATAGATAAAGTTCCTTTTCCAAAGGGTTTCAATTTTCTACAACCTAAGATTCGAATGTTGGCTCCTTTCAGGTATGACAAAGGTTGGTGGCTTATCCCAGCATCATTGGTGCCATTCCTGGGTCCTGCTTTATATCTGGTCTTACGACCGTATATGTCTGAAGTATCTGCTTCAATCAGCCCCATTTCATCCGGGCAGAAATAAGTCTGAAAGTACATCTCTGTATATCAACGGCTGAATCCCAAAGGAAAATAATCAAATATGGCATTCCATGCTACATAAACAAATATGAAGATTATCAGTTCATCACTAATGGCATGCTGAGATGCATATCCTGTTCTCCATCCCATGG